CCCCTTCTTCCTTCCCCATCCAGCTTACATTCTTACAATCTATCATTACAATCACATTCTTGCACACGGCCACAATTTCCCTTGCCCTCCATTTCCCTACTAGCTTAACTTTACCAGTTTCCCAACCTGCAAATGCTTCCACAGCAGGGGTGCCACGAATTAATTATATATGGGTGGCACCAATTATTGATGTTCATGAACTTTTTAAGTGGTAAAACTTCCTGCCCTTTTTAATAACCATTCAAAAATGTACAACAGTTGAAATTATTTGTAGGGCTCCCCCTATAACCTTCTCAGACTTAATCATTATAATTGCCATTTCGGTGCTGCCCAGGAGTCAGAGGCGCAGGTAGCTGTACCACACGGCCCCTCCTCTTGATCTTCTAAGGAATCATCCCAGTTAGTCTGATCATTACCTTGTTTGCAATTTACCAGTTAGTCTTTGTTTTGTGTGCACATGTCAAGTTTTTTTGTTTAATCTGCTCTTCATTTTCACCATTCTCCCCACTAAGGTAGATGTGTATGATTGATTGTTCTTTACTTTTAAGAGCTAATACACTCACATGGTTCAAAAAATCAGAACTATAATAAGGTATCTTTTGAGAGGTCTCGCTCCCGCAATTGTCCCTATCCACCACATTTCCCTCACAAGAAAGTTCTTTATTAGGCTGTAAGCATTACGGTAGGAGAAGGAAATTGAGTCTGCACTACTAACTGAAACATTCTAGTACCTTCCTGGCACACACTAAGTACCAAATAGTTATGCCTGGTCATGCTGGGCCCTTGGGACACAAAGATGAATCAGATATGGGTAAGAAGTTAACAGTGTAGTGGAGGAAACAGACCCGGATCATACCAGGTCAACAAGTCCCAGTTCCAGGGGGTGCACAGATGAGTGGAAACCAAGGGGGAGGTTAACAGGGATTCCCAGAGGAAGTGCTGTATAGGTTGAATTCTGAAAAATAAGCAAGAGTTACCCAGTTGAAGAATGAGGGAGAGGGGAGGGAGAGTCCTGAACACGGAAAGAACAGAATACAACCACACTGTCTGTTGTACAGTTAAGAAAAATCCAAAGCTTAGGAGAGGTCAGGCAGAACACAGAACTACCATATGACCCAGTAATCCCACTCCTAGGTATATACCCAGAGGATATGAAAGTAGGAATACAAACAGAAACCTGTACACCAATGTTCACTGCAGCGCTTTTCACAATAGCCAAAAGGCGGAAACAATCGAAATTTCCATCAACAGATGAATGAGTAAACAAAATGTGGTATACACATACAATGGAATACCATTCAGCCAGAAAGAGAAATAAAGTCCTGATGCGTGCCAAAATGTGCATGAACCTTGAAAACATCATGGTGAAATAAGTCAGTCTCAGAAGGACCTCACTTATATGAAATAATATATAGAAACCAAAGATTAATGATTACCAGGGGTTGCACGGAGGGAAAAAGGGGGAGTTTGGGCTTAGGGGGCATTGTGTTTATGTTAATGGTGGTAGAATAATTTGGAAAAGAATAGTGATAATGGTTGTACAACTTGTGTAATCAATGTTACTGAATTATACATGTAGAAATTGTTAAACTAGGGTGTATTTTGTTGTGTATATTTCCATCACAATTAAAAGAGAGAGATTGAGATTAGGCAGTAATTTGATAGCAGACAGTGTATGCATCCTCTGAGGGACTAAATTCCAAAGAGAAAAGAGACTGCATTTTTTTAAGCCAATACTTATAATACTTACAAAGCACTTATTATGTGCTAGGCACTGTTGTAAGTATTTTACCTACTTTAACTCATTAAATCTTCACAACAAGGCTGAGGTAAATACTATTATCACCCTCCATTTTCTAGATAAGGAAACTGAAATTAAGTAACTTGCCTAAGGCCACACAGCAAGTAAATAGGAAAGCTGGGGCTCAAACCTAGTCTGGCTCCAGAGTCCATTCTCTTAACCACTGGGCTGTACATTTCTTTAAAAGTACAATTTATAAAGAAAAATGTTTGGGCATGTTAGGATTACAGGCAGTGTGATATTTACTGCTATTCGTATCAGATCAAGTCACTTAACCTTGCTGAGCCTCAGTTTCTTCACCTGTAAAATGGAAACAGGGAATAAGGATAACATTACCTTATAAGGAAGTCGGGAAAACATCAATGATACTATAGGTAAAAGACCCAAACTGAGTGATCAGATACATACAGAGCAATTAAAAATGGTTGCTGTGAAACATAAATATTCATTAAAGCTTAGGATTGGGAGGGGGTGGTAAAGGAAACTCACTGTGTCTAAGTTTCATCATGATGATCAGCTTGAAAGCAGGTAGGTTCAAATCTGCTAGCTTCCTTCCTGTGAGGACAGGGGAAGAACAAATTTGAAGACATAGCTGAGAACCACAATGCCACAAGGCTTTGTGCCTTCTGAGACCCCTAAAGGCAAAATAAAATGTTAAAGAACATGATAAGGAATCCCTTAACAATTAGGGAAACTGGGAGAAGGGGCTACACTGGAGCCCGGGTCTGGTGTGGCTACACAGGGAAGGCCTTATCACAATGCCCAAAAGGAGGGGTAGGTCTGAACTTCTCTTCCAGGGTGGAGTTAGTGCCTCAAGGCATTGGACTCGATCCTTGGTCCTTAATCCTCCACCCTGTAGTGTTATATCCCAGGTAAGGAAGGAACTAGCACCAAGCCTCTCTACACTGAGGGGCTTTTTTTTTTTTTTTACAAGGGTGGCAATAGTGCCTCTTCTCACAATTAGAGGTTCTGTGTCTCTTCCAAAGGATCCCTGGGTGGCACAAATGGTTAAGCATTTGACTACTGACCAAAAGATCAGTAGTTCAAATCCACTCAGAGGTGCCTCAGAACAGGCCTAGCAATCTGCTTCCAAAAGGTCACAACCTTGAAAACCCTATGGAGCAGTTCTACTCTGCACACTTGGGGTTGCCATGAATCAGAATCGACTTGACAACTAACCTAAAGGTTGGTGGTTTGCACCTACCCTGCGGTACCACAGAAGAAAGGCCTGGCAATCTGCTTCTGTAAAGATTACAAACAAGAAAACCCTATGGAGCAGTTCTACTCTGCAACACATGGGGCTGCCGTGAGTTGAAACGGACTCAATTGCAAAGAGTATGGGTTTTTTGTTGTTTTTTTGATGTCTCTTCTACCCTGGGAGGGGAGGAAAGACAGATTCCAATAGTCTAGCCTGAGGGAGTGGGGGCCTCGAAACAGGGCTTATCTCTGTGTCTATGTGGATCCAGGTCAGAGCAGAATTTTGCTGGGAGGGAATCTGTGCCTGCGTGTGTGGATGGGGTCATCTGTCACTCTACTGGGAACCAGCACAGTGGCTCTATGTATCTCTGCACAAGACAGGGCAGGTTTGCGCATCTCTAAATTGTGGGGAGCAGGGGTCCTGGGTTTCTTTACCCTGGAGAGGACTGTGGAGAAGAATTAATATGCCAGTCTCCAGTCTCCACTATAAGGTGACATTAGTGTCACACTAACAAAGGGGGGAGCTGTGTGTGCAGGCTTGCACGAGTGAGGTCTACAACTTGCCTGCAGTGAGTGGGCTATTACGGCCCTTCCATGGGAGGTGGGCTGAGGAGAATCTTTATCTTTTTTTATGGGTTGAAGTCAGCAGCTCTAACATTGAAGGGAGGTGGGCCTTTGGATTTTTGCATAGGTGGGGAGTGCTGCAACTATAAATTCAATGGATCTGCTCTTACACTTGGGGGAGGGGGTGTCTGTGTCTTTACCCTGGGTGGAGAGAAACAGATCTGAACTCAAGAGAGAGTCTCTGCACACACAGTGAGGTGATCAGAGATGTCACTGCCTTTCAACTCCGCAGGGAGGGGGAAGTTGCACTTCTCTGCTTGGGTGGGGTCTTTCCCTTGTAACGTGGTGAGTCTAAATCCTTGGGGATTTAGTGGGGGTGGAGGGCAATCTGTGTCTATCGCAAAAGGTGAGAAAGAAATCTGAGACCCTCTACCCTGGGGGCCTCCTCAGGGGCACACTTAGCTGTCTCTTCCAGGGTTGAGGTCTGTTCCTGTTTGCTGCAGGGAGACGGGCATTTTGGGGGTTGGGCCTTTACAAATTCGGTAAACCAGTACCCTTCTATATAGGGTAGGGGTCCAGTCTGATTCACCAGTGGGGACTCACTCCTAGACTCAGTTCTAGGAGGGAGGCGGAATCTGCATGGCTTTCCATGGGCTAAGGCCTGTGTCCCCAACCACTTTGGGGAGGGATGATCAATGGTCACTGCAGAAGTAGGGGTGGGCCTCCATCAGTCAGTAACACTGAGGCGAGGTGGGAGGTCTCTGTGCGTCTCTACACGAAGAGGAGGTTCCTGCCCTCCTCAGTGCATTAAAACTGAACTCCTTTATAATGGGAGGGGGGGTGGGAGGTGGCTAATGGAGGAGAAGGAGCAGCGTGCCAGGGGTGGGGAGAATACATCAAAGCCTCTGCCTGTGGGAAGGGTACCTCTAGGCGGATCACTGTGTCTTCATGTCTTCATGCAAGGAGGTCTCCCTGCTCAGCCTTAGGAAGGTCGATGCCTGTCTATACGGGCAATGAGGAATAGAGCCTCACTATCCTGAGAGGAGGAAGGCGACCCAGGGGGTCTGTGACTCTACACAGTGTGTCTCGCTCAGAGTCTACACCTTTGCAGATAGGATAGAGCCGTGTCCCTTGAACCCGAGGGAGCGCTGTAGGACGCGTCTCTACAGGCAGAGCGATACTTGACACTCATCCGGTACCTTCTACCCTGGAGAGGAGGCGGGTCTTTACCTCTCTATTCTGAGGGGGGAAGCGTCTACAGTTTCACCTCAAACAGACGATCCTTACCACGCAGCCCGGCAGGTGAGCGCTCATCAGGAGAAAAGAGAATAATCTCTTACCTACACTTTCCGGAGGAGATCTGAGTGAAAACGATAGCACGAGAACAGGGTTGACCAAGTAAACGCACTCGCGGCCCTCGGCTCCAACTTCCGGATCCCAGCCTCGCCCAGCGCGGCAGCTCTCTCTGCTGTGCGTCTCAGTGGAGGCGGGGCGTCGGATTGACGGCTAGGGCTGGCCAGTCCCTTCCTCACGAACACGCTAGCCCCGCCTCCTGACTGCTTCTTAAGGTAAGAAAATAGCCAGAGGGAGGGGAGAGACAGGGAAGTGGTAGGAGAAAACGTAAGAGTCGACTGGTGTGGCCATATAACCTACTTGTAAGCCAAAATCTTGTTTGCGGGCCTCTGTATGTGCCTAAATGTGAGTGTTTCCGAATTTTAGTGACCAGGAGATCATGTCAGAATCAGACAACGGTTAGCGGTTGGTGCCTTTGTCTGCATGGAAGATGGCGACGGGCGGGGTGTGAGAAAATGGCCGCCTGGGTCACATGTCTGGTCGAGTATTCCCCACCAGAAAGTGAATTGGTTAGCCTTTCCCAACAACCTTCCAGGGTTTTAGGACCCCAGACAAACCCTCAGGCAACCACTCCCAGGTCTTTCTACATAAGTATAAGAAGTCCAACATCCATTCCAGTCCCAACCGGAACAGCAGCCTAAGCAAGACCTGGAGCCTGAACAACTGTAAGCCTCTCTTGCCCTCTTTCTCTCCCATCCATTTTCCCTCTTTCCCTCTTTCCCTCCTCCTACATTCCCTCAGGCCCAGAGCAGCGTCTGCTGAAGGAAATTAGTCTGTCTGTGGACTGGGGGCAAGTAAGGGTTTCCTCAGAAAACAATCTCCAGGGGCTCCTGACCTGGCTAGGTAATGAGATCTCCCCCTAAAATCAATAATTAGTTTGGAAATGTCTTCTGCCTGGTAATTTAATGTCAGCCCTCTCCCCCCTTCGTCAAGCCTGTTAAAAATAATCAAAACTCAGACTAAAACATAAGGTTTATTCTAAGCAGTTATTCTGTATGCATATAGGGAGACCATTTTGATTCCAGAAAAAGGAATCGGTTTGAACTTTTGTTAGTTACAAAACCAAAGAAACGCCCGCTATGGGGTTTCTGAGGCTGTAAACCTCTACAGAAGAAGACTGACACATCTTTCTCCCATGAGCTGCTGGTGGTTTCGAACTGCTGGCCTTTCAGTTAGCAGTCTCTGGCTTTGTTAGTTACAGGGAAGCTTACAAGAGAAGGGGAGGGAGAAGAATAGAATGTCAACCATTGTCTAATCCTAACATGATAGATTGAACCCTGCCCTCCCCCCTTTACTAATATCAGATGGCACCTAATAATTTGGCCCTCCACCCACCTGCAGCCATGAGACTTTGAGATTTAATTTAGGAGAGCCTAGATTCTTTTTCATTTAATCAGGAGGTAATGGTTTTGTTGATTATCCTTTTCTAGCAAGAAAAGTCAAATTTACATTGCTGTAGAGCAGTTTCTGGCAGGCTTTTGGAGTTTGGGTCAGGCTTTTTATGGTTAATATTTGGTTTCATGGATAAGAAAAACCTTAAAATCAAAGTAAGGTGTCTGTTATTAATCTTCCTCTTCAACATTTACCCCCTTCTGATCACGATTTGATTAGAATCTTTGATCACTAAGTATCGGCCAGGCACCAATCTAGGTTTCTTCGGGTCATTGGTACTGCTTTATGGGGTACCTTTTTGTTAAACATATAGGGTCGCTGTGAGTCGGAATCAACTCCATGGCAACAGGTTTGGTGTTTTGTGGGTTTTTTTTTTTTTTTTTTTGGCTTTTGGCTTTTTTTGTTAAACATGTTATTTCTGTTGGTTCCTTAGCTGCTGCTTTTTGTTGTTCCTCTAGACTGAATGAGACCATTTGCTGTACCTTAGATGGCCACTCGCAAGCTTTTAACACACCAGACGCCAAGCAGCTTAGTGGTTTAATAGAAAAGATTAAAATGAGAATACATACACCAATGGTCTGAAAGGCTAGTCTGGTCCACGAACCCAAATTTTCTAACCATGAAACAAATCACAAGAAGACGCGTGAGGAGCATCTGTAGCACGCATTGTATCTCTAACGTGAACTGCTAAAATGATATCTCAGTATACTTTCATTTAGGTGTCATTAATATATGTACACAACAATTTGTTTTTACCAAAGTACAAACTCCTTGGGAGTAACATAATCATAAGCTAGTCTGTGTTATAATGTAGTTATTTTTATCTGTGCTATTTCAAAGAGAATATATAGCATTGTCTAGGTTATTAATAAAGCTATCTTATTTAACATTGTTTGTAACCTTAGTGTGTATATATATATGTATATATATATATATATATATATATATACGTACGTATATACTTTTAACATAGTTTAAACCAATTTTAGTAACTAAGGACATCATGGCTGTGATAGAACAGCCAATTAATGCTCCTTTTGTCAATGGACCCTGATTTGATAGCAGTTTAGTCAGTTGTTTGATGGCCTTCAGTCTTAGTCTCTCTCATATTTCTAATTTTCCTTTTGGGTAATTGATTATGTATAGATATATAAAGAACAGCATAAACTATGTAACAAATCCAATCTGCAAGTAGAAAACAAACTCATTAGTTGTCTGCGGTTGACAAAAAAAGTTTTAAAGAGAACAAAAACCAGAATTCGATAGCTCACAAGGACTTGCCATAATTTCCTCTTGAAACAAAAAAATTTCTCTCCACAGTCACCCTCCTCTCAATCAAAAGACAATCTCAAAGCAAAGTTTTTCTTGATCTAAAATATGGCTGTACAAGTATACGTATAAGCCATCACACAAATAGACAGATGCACACTCATGTTCATTGCCGGACTATTCACAATAGCAAAAAGAAACAACCTAAATGCCCATCAACAGATGAATGGATAAATAAATTATGTTACACAGACAATGTGGAATACTACACAATGATAAAGAATGATGAATCCGCAAAACATCTTACAACATGGATGAATCTGGAGGGCATTGTGCTGAGTGAGATAAGTCAGTCACAAAAGGGCAAATATTGTATGAGACTACTATTATAAGAACTCAAGGTTTACACACAGGAAAAAAAACAGTCTTTCTTGGTTATGAAGGTGGGGAGGGAGACGGAGGGGAAGTCACTAACTAAATAGTAGACAAGCGTCAACTTTGGCGAAGGGAAAGACAACACTCAATATAGGGGAAGTCAGCACAACTTGACCAAAGCAAAGGCATAGAATTTTCCTAGACATATTCAAACACCTCGAGGGACCGAGTTGCTGGGGCTAAGGGCTAGGGGCTCGGGACATCTAGGTCAGTTGGCATACCATAGTTCATGAAGAAAATGTTCTACATTCCACTTTGGTGAGTAGCGTCTGGGGTCTCAAAAGCTTGCGAGCAGCCATCTAAGATACATCTTTCGGTCCCATCTCGTCTGGAGCAAAGGAGAATGAAGAAAACTGAAAACACAAGGAAAATATTAGCCAAAAAGACTAAAGGACCACATGAACCAGAGCCTCTACCAGCCTGAGCCCAGAAGAACTATATAGTGCCTGGCTGCCGCCAACAACTGCTCTGACAGGGATCACAACAGAGAGTCCCGGACAGACTGGGAGAAAAATGTAGAACAAAATTCAAATTCATGAAAAAAGACCAGACTTACTCGTCTGGCAGAGACTGGAGGAACCCCTGAGACCATGGCCCCTGAACACTCTCCTAACTCAGAACTGAAACCACTCCCGAAGTCTACTTTTCAGACAGGCCTATAAAAGAAACAATAACACACATGAGGAACATGCTTCTAGTTCAGTCAAATATACGAGACCAAATGGGCAACTCCTGCCCAGAAGCAAGATGGGAAGGCAGGAAGGGAAGGAACTGGATGAATGGACCCAGAGTGGAAAGGGGGAGTATGCTGTCACATTGTGGAGATTGCAACCAGTGTCACAAAACAATATGTGTATAAATTTTTGAGTAAGAAATTAACTTGAGCTGTAAACTTTCACCTAAGCACAATAAAATAAAATAAGGCTGTTCATTATTATCTACATAGGTGCAGCAAGAATGGCAATTTATCACATAACCTTTTAAAACTGCTTTGCTGGAAGTTTCTATAAGGAACATCAGATTAAACTTCTAAAAGCCTCTCGAGGCCAGGAAGCCAAGCCAAGAACTTGCCACCAATTTTCACTTACACTACCCATAGGTTTGGGTGAGTTCCTCTTTTTTCGAGGTTCCAGAATAATGTAAGGTAATAAAATACTAAAAAAAAAATATTTTAAGGGTTCTGGGCCTGCTAAGAAGTGACCTTCTTTACTCACCTGTAAAGCAGGAACCTTGTAGGTCAAGTACCATGTTAGATTTCCTAGAAGGGCTTTGTAAGCATTGGCTCCATATACCCAATCTTAGTTTTGTGTAAGTGTCTGGTCATACCTGATTCTCTGAGCACCATTCTTAATTATGACATCCTAGTGAAAGTTTGGTTGTATAATGGAGATTTCCAATTATTTCCTCTTAACAAGGAAGACCGATTTTTATTGAACTTAAGCAAATAATTACATTGCCATAAAAAATAAGAATATTCATTAAGAGTTTTCCAATTCTGAACTAGATAACTGGGCGCTCCTAAAAATCAAACACTTATGCTCATCAAAACACTTCACCAAAAGAGTAAAAAGACAACCTACAGACTGGGAAAAAATTTTTGACTAAGACAAATCCAATCAGCGTCTAATCTCTAAAATCTATGAGATACTGAAAAACTTCAACAACAAGAAGACAAGTAACCCAATTAAAAAATGGGCAAAGGATATGAACAGGCACTTCGCCAAAGAAGACATTCAGGCAGCTAACAGACGCATGAGGAAATGCTCATCATGATCATTAGCCATTAGAGAAATGCAAATCAAAACTACAATGAGATACCATCTCACCCTAACAAGGCTAGCATTAATCCAAAAAACACAAAATAATAAATGCTGGAGAGGTTGTGGAGAGACTGGAACACTTATACACTTTTGGTGGGAATGTAAAATGGTACAACCACTTTGGAAATCGATTTGGCACTTCCTTAAAAAGCTAGAAATAGAAGTACCATACGATCCAGCAATCCCACTCCTTGGAATATATCCTAGAGAAGTAAGAGCCATCACACGAATAGATATATGCATACCCACATTCACTGCAGCACTGTTCACAATAGCAAAAAGTTGGAAACAACCTAGGTGCCCATCAACGGACAAATGGATAAACAAATTATGGTATTTTCACATAATGGAATACTATGCACCGATAAAGAACAACGATGAATCCATGAAGCATAACATGGAGGAATCTGGAAGGCATTATGCTGAGTGAATTTAGTCGGTCGCAAAAAGACAAATATTGTATAAGACCACTATTATAAGAAATCAAGAAAAGGTTTAAACACAGAAGAAAACATTCTTTGATGGTTACAAGGGTGAGGAGGCAGGGAGAGGGGTATTCACTAACTCGACAGTAGACAAGAATTATCTTAGGTGAAGAGAAGGACAGCACACGCTACAGGGGAAGTCAGTACAACTGGACTAAACCAAAGCTAAGAAATTTCCTGAATACAACGAAACACTTTGAGGGACAGAGTGGCACGGGTCTGGGGACTATGCTTTCAGGGGACATCTAGGTCAATTGGCATACCAAAGTTTATTAAGAAAATGTTCTGCATCCCACTTTGGTGAGTGGTATCTGGGGGTGTTAAAAGCTAGCAAGCAGCCACCTAAGATGCATCTGTTGGTCCCAACCCACCTGGAGCAAAGGAGAATGAAGAACACCAAAGACACAAGGAAAGTATTAGCCCAAGAGACAGACAGGGCCACATAAACAAAAGACTTCATCAGCCTGAGACCAGAAGAACTAGATAGTGCCCAGCTACCACCAATGATCGCCCTAACAGGGAACACAACAGAGAGTCCCTGACAAAGCAGGAGAAAAATGGGTTGTAGAACTCAAATTCTAGTAAAAAGACCAGACTTAATGGTTTGACTGAGACTGGAGGGACCCCAGAAGACATGGCCCCCGCACTCTCTGTTAGCCCAAAACTAAAACCATTCCTGAGGCCAACTTTTCAGACAAAGATTAGACTGGACTATGGGACATAAAATGATACTTGTGAACAGTGTGCTTCTTAGCTCAGGTAGATAACATGAGACTAAATAGGCAGCTCCTGTCCAGAGGCAAGATGAGAAGGCAGAGAGGGTCAGGAGCTGGTTGAATGGACACAGGAAATCTGGGGTAGAAAGGAAGAGTATGCTGTCACAGTATGGGGAGAGCAACTAGGGTCACATAGCAGTATGTGTATATATTTTTGTATGACAGATTGAACTGTAAGCTTTCACTTAAAGCACAATAAAAAAAAGAAAACACCAAAGAAAAGTTATTAGGATAGATGATATCACTTAGGAAGATACTAGATCAAGAGTGTGTGTGTACCCCTTCTTCCTTCCTAAAAAATGTAGAGTGATCAACCAATACTAGCAACATTCTAATTCTTTATAAATAATTTTCCAATTCTGGAGGGGTTAGGGAGAGATAATTGATAAATGTTTCATCTTTTTGCATAAACGTAGTTTGTTATTATAAGTTATAGATAGTTTAGGAGAAAATAGTTTCTCATATCCAGAAAACAGTACATTAAAACAGTAATATCTCCCACATAAAATCCATAATAATCTTTTAGTCCACTCAGTCCTGTAATTAATTTCTGTTCTGTTTGTCCTAGATCAGCAGTCATGAACCCACCACCTTCTCCACTAGAGTTTCTGGAAATCTTGATGCAGTCTAGTGGTATTAGTAGTGCCATTTAGAAGTCTGTGTCCAACTATCTGACATAGTCCTTTCAATGAGTCCCTTTTGTTGGAAAACTCTGGCCTGTGGTATTTTGCAGTTACCTTCAGGACGTCATCAAAGTAAAAACTATCTGTAGGCGGTAAGTCTTAAAAATATTCATGGTTAACTTGTTGTTAGGTGCTATCGAGTTGGTTCTGACTCATTGCAACCCCGTGTACAACAGAATGAAACCCTGCCCGGTCCTGCGCCATTCTTGCAATCGTCGTTATGCTTGAGCCCATTGTTGCAGCCACTATGTCATCCCATCTCGTTGAGGTCTTCCTCTTTTTCACTGACCCTCTACCAAGCATGATGTCCTTCTCCAGGGGCTGGTCCCTCCTGATAACATGTCCAAAGTATGTGAGACGAAGTCTCACGCTCCTCGCTTTTACTTCTTCCAAGACAGATTTGTTCATTTTTCTGCCAGTATGTGGTATATTCAGTATTCTTTGCCAACACCATAAATCAAAGGCATCAATTCTTTGGTCTTCCTTATTCATTGTCTAGCTTTCGCATGCATATGAGGCAATTGAAAACACCAGGGCTTGGGTCAGGTGCACCTTAGTCCTTAAAGTGACATCTTTGCATTTCAACACTTTAAAAGAGATCTTTTGCAGCACATTTGCCCAGTGCAATGCGTCGTTTGATTTCTTGACTGCTGCTTCCATGGGCATTGATTGTGGATCCAATTAAAATGAAATCCTTTACAGTTTCAATATTTTCTCCATTTATCATGATGTTGCTTATTGGTCCAGTTGTGAGGATTTTTGTTTTCTTTATGTTGAGATGTAATCTGTACTGAAGGCTGTAGTCTTTGCTCTTCATCTGTAAGTGCTTCAAGTCCTCTTCTCTTTCAGCAAGCAAGGTTGTGTCATCTGGATATCGCAGTTTGTTAATGAGTCTTCCTCCAATCCTGATGCCGCATTCTTCTTTATATAGTCCAGCTTCTCTGATGATTTGCTCAGCATACAGATTAAATAAGTATGGTGAAAGGATACAACCCTGAAGCACACTTTTCCTGACTTTAAACCACACCGTATCCCCTTGTTTTGTTGAAACGACTGCCTCTTCATCTAAGTACAGGTTCCTCATGAGCACAATCAAGTGTTCTGAAATTCCCATTCTTCCCACTGTTTCAGAAGTCACAAAGTCTGCTCAACCAATTTACTGATATGGATATAACTTAAAGTCCCTGGCTAGGGGTGGAAGCATTTCCCAGGCAATTTCAGGTGTGTCTCATTGTGATTTTTATCTTTTGACTTTTTAAAATCCCTCTGCAATAGAGAGAACTTGTTTATGGTTCTTTAATGTTGAGGATCCACCCAGTTTCTGATAAGTGTATTAAGACAGCATTTTTTCTTATTTTAACTTTCATCAATTCCACTGTGTTTATCCATATATGTATATAAATCTTTGAAGATCTTCACTCTTTTGGGAGGGCTCCTCTCTTCAAAAGCTCACATAACACTACTATGGAAAATGTTATTGCACTTCCTCAAAAAAAACCTAGAAATAGAAACACCTTATGATCCAGCAATCCCACTCCTAGGTATCTATCCAAGAGATACAGAGCAGTGACCTGAATAGACCTATGTATATTGCAGTAGCATTCACAGTAGCAAAAAGATGGAAACAATCTAAGTGCCCATCAACAGATGAATGGATAAACAAATTGTGATACATACATACAATGGAATACTATGCAACTATAAGAATAAGGAGCACTGGTGGTGCAGTGGTTAAGAGCTACAGCTGCTAACCAAAAGGTCGGCAGTTTGAATCCCCCAGCCACTCCTTGGAAACCCTATGGGGCAGTTCTGCTGTGTCCTGTAGGGTCGCTATAAGTCAGAATTGACTCGACGGCAATGGGGTTTATAAAGAATAATGAGAAGTCCATGAAATATAACATGGATGAATCTGGAGGACATTATGCTGAGTGAGATAAGTCAATCACAAAAGGATAAATGTTGTGTGGTCCCACTTTTATAAAATATCAAGAACAGACACAGAAAGCAGTGTTCTTTGATGGTTTACCATGGATGGGAAGGGAAGATGGGAATCAGTTTCTAGATAGTACAAAAAACCAACCAATCCTGCTGCCCTCAAGTCAATTCCGACTCATAGCAACCCTATAGGACAAACTAGAACTGCCCCATAGGGTTTGCAAAGAGCGCCTGGTGGATTTGAACTGCTGACCTTTTGGTTAGCAGCCGTAGCTCTTAACCACTATGCCATCAGGGTTTCCTTCCAGATAGTAGACACTTGTTATTTTTGGTGGTGGGAAAGGCAGTAACCAAATATGGATGAAGTCTGCACAAGTTGACCAAAGTAAATGAAGACACTAAGAAGTACACAAGGAAAAGAGACGATTTTGGTAAATGCTATAACCTATACAATTTTGCAACAACAGTAGTAGCAACCAAAAAATATGAATGTGGTTACACAGGTACATACACGTATGTGTATATGTGTCTAGGAAGGCATATGTGAGTCCATGCATATGCATGTATAGGTGTACCTGTAGGCATATGTATATATATGTTTTATGTGTGCTGCATATATATCCGTATATATAATATAGCACGTAGGGGGAACAGTTATAGAGCCTTCCTAGACATATCCAAACAACTCACGGGATGGGTTTACTGGGTTAAAAGGCTTAGGACCATAGTCTCATGGGACAACTTAGTCAGTTGGCGTGTTGTTGTTAGGTGCCGTTGAGTCAGTTCTGACTCATAGTGTCCCTGTGTCCAACATAATGAAATGTTGCCTGGTCCTGCACCATGCTCAGAATTGTTGCTATGTTTGAGCCCATTGTTGTAGCCACTGTGTCAGTCCGTCTTGTTGAGGGGCCTCCTCGTTTTTGCTAACCATCTACTTTACCAAGCATGGTGTCCTTCTCCAGGGACTGGTCCCTCCTGATAACATGTCCACAGTATATAAGATGATGTCTCACCATCCTCACTCCTGAGGAGCATTCTGGCTGTACTTCTTCCAAGACAGATTTTGTTTGTTCTTCTGGCAGTCCATGGAGTATTCAGTATTTTTTGCCAACACCATAATTCAAAGGCATCAATTCTTCTTTGGTCTTCCTTATTCATTGTCCAGCTTTCACATGCATGTGAGGTGATTGAAAATACCGTGGCTGGAGTCAGGTGCACCTTAGTCCTCAAAGTGATGTCTTTGCTTTTCAATACTTTGAAGAGGTCTTTTGCAGCAGATTTGCCCAATGCAGTACGTCATTTGATTTTTTGACTGCTGCTTCCATGGGCATTGGTTGTGGATCCAAGTAAGATGAAATCTTTACAACTTCAGTCTTTTCTCTGTTTATCATGATGTTGCTTATTGGTCCATTTGTGAGGATTTTTGTTTTCTTTATGCTGAGTTGTAATGTACTAAAGGCTGTAGTCTTTGATCTTCATCGGTAAGTGCTTCAAGTAATTTTCACTTTCAGCAAACGAGGTTGTGTCATCTGCATATCGCAGGTTGTTAATGAGTCTTCCTCCAGTTCTGATGCCATGTTCTTCTTCATATAGTCCAGCATCTCAGATTATTTGCTCAGCATACAGATTGAATAAGTATGGTGAAAGGATACAACCCTGATGCACACCTTTCTTGATTTTAAACCACGCAGTATCCCCTTGTTCTATTCAAATGACTGCCTCTTGGTCTAAGTACACGTTCCTCACGAGCACAATTAAGTTTTCTGGAATTCCCATTTTTCGCAATGTTATCCATAATTTGTTATGATCCACACAATCGAATGCCTTTGCATAATCAATAAAACACAGGTAAATGTCTTTCTTGTGTTCTCTGCTTTCAGCCAAGATCCATCTGACATCAGCGGTGATATCACTTATCCCTCAACTGACATAGCATAGTTCATAAAGATAATGTTCTACACCCTAGTTTGGTGAGTAATGTCTAGGGTCTTGAAAGTTTGTGAGTAGCCACCTAAGATACAACTATTGGTCTCTGCTCGTCTGGACTAAAAGAGAAGGAAGGAAACCAAAAGACTCAAAGTCGACAGGACTAGTAGCCCACATGAACCACAGCCTCTTCTAACCTGAGACCAGAAGAACTAGATGGTACCTGGCTACCAGTACTGGCCGTTCTGACCAGGGAAACAATACAAGGTCCCAGACAGAATGGGAGATAAATGTAGAACATAATTCAAATTCCTAAGAAAGACCAGACCTACTGGACCAATAGAGATTAGAGGAATCCCGAGACTACCGCCCTATGATACCCTTTAAACTTGGCACTGAAGCTACTCCTGGAGGTCACCTTTCAGCCAAATAATAGAGTGGCTTATCAAATAAACAGTATCACCCATGAGTAATGTACCTCCTTAAACAAGCAACTATATGAGACCAAATGGTCAACATTTGCCCTAAAGTAAAGATGAGAAGGCAAAGAGGGGAAGGGAAGCTAGATCAATGGAAACAGAACAAACAAAATGGAAATATGAGAATGCTGACAAATTGTGAAAATTGTAACCAGTGTCACACAACAATCTGTATAAAGATTGTTAGATGGAAACCTAATTTTCTGTGTAAACTTCCACCTAAAGAACAAGAAAATATTTAAAAAAAAAAAAGCTCAAGTGGCCCCAAGTGGGCAAACCTCAGGCCTCAGAGGCAGAGGCCTTGGAGGCCTCATCCTGCCCCCCTCCCTTTCTGAAGCTCATTGCCTGGGAGATGAATTGGGTGATCTAAATTCATTTACATATGTTTAAGTTAGCCTAGGTATTTTTGAAAGACAAAAGATACCTTAATTGCTCAGGACATTTTCAAGAACCAGTTTTTCTTTCTTTTTTTTAAAGACAGGATTAAACTTCTTTTAAGTGGACATAAAAATCTTTGTCAAAACAAATTCACTTGCATTAATTCCCGGGCGTATTAGTACTACTAAATTTATGTAAGTGCTTATTTATCATTAAACCAATCAAAATAAAGCTCTTTGAAGGAATGTTATAATCAAATAATACCATCTAGAGGTAGGAAAATTTTTCATTTTCACAACCCTATCTCCTGCGCACTTTAAAGAACCTTTTAGAGAAGTAAATTTAGAATAATTTCTATCTTTTTGAGGCTTCCTTACGCCAGTCAAAATAAACAATTCATCCTTTTTTCAGTGTACTTTTCAAATGAACCAGCTTCTATCACAGTTTCTCAGAGTAACTACTAAAAGCCCAAGTCATAAGATAGGCACAAGAAGTGGTTACTCTTGGAGCTGAGGAAAAAAACTCAGAACGAACACTCTCTCTAGATAAAAACCAAAATCCTTAAGACAAAATCTTACCCAGTTTTATAGGTAACTCACTGCAAAATTCATCCAAGTGGACACTATTTTTGGTGAGAACAACATATTCACCGGTCTGTGGAGCCAGCTCCAACAACAGGCTTATAGGGTCTATACCTTTATTCTACCTTACGATTTTCTTTTTATGAGGATCAGAAGTAGCATAACACTCTTAAAACAGCACAGCACAAAACAAGGCAACACATACACAAAACTAGCTATCACAATTTTGAGCTGTTTCCTGTCAGGTCCACCCATTTTCGAAATTCCCTGAGCCCTCCCTCAGATCAAATCCGACATCCCTTGCACCCAGTCCAAGGCAAGTATTCAAATCAAATTACCTGAGGCCTCACTATGAAACCTGAGCACCAAACAGAAATTCCCCAAAGTGGAAAGAAAAGGACAGAGCAGATGCGAACCCATTTCCCCAAACAGAGCAAAAGAGTAGCTTACCAAGGAAACGGCATCCATAACTGCTCGCGTATAAACCCAGAGAGTTCAACACAAAGGGAGTAGAACTTGAACCCTGGAGAGATTTACCAAGTTTACCAAGTTCCCCAGCCATAGTGAGGGAACAGTTGGGCGCGATGGGCCCTGTTTGGTACCATATTATTTGATCCCTCATCAAGAATGGGGCAGTCAACTTGGTGATCTTCTCAGTCCTGCTTCTGACACCAAAAACTTAAAAATAATCAAAACTCAAAGAAACTGAAATACAAGGTTGATTCTGAGCAGTTATTCTATATGCATATAGGGAGCCACTAGCTTTTTCTGGAATCAAAATAGTCTCCCTATATGCATATAGAACAAACTGCTGAGAATCAACCTTATGTTTCAATTTCTTTGAGTTTTGATTATTTTTAACAAGCCTAAACCTTGGAATGAGGCCTGCCCCTCTACCTGGAGAGTATGTTCTTTAACCTGATTTAGAAAATAATATTTGGAATCATTCCCTGACCTTGAGCATGGAGAAATGTGACCCACCTAGGGCTGGGTTCTCACAGACTCACAAAGACACATCAGCTGGGCCCTGAGATAGACAATAGATGGGACAATCTCAGAAATTATCTTAAGGAAGTTTTCACAAAAGGGCAATCAAACAGAACACAAAAGACTTCCCACTTTTTGTCTTTTTCTATTAACATTTAGAGAACAGAAATTTGTTGGACCAATGAAGACCCTCCTGACTTTCATAACTGAAACCTGTACCAGTGATTGTTAAGAAAGATGATTCAAAATGTAAGATCACAATTTCTAGCCAATCTGTGAAAACATGACGCTTTCAATGATTCTACCCATTTTGCGACGTTGATATATACTGATGATTCTGTAACCTTCCTTGGATTTGGGCAGACATTCTAGCTCTGGCAGCATGCTTGTCCGCTTCCCACTTTTGTCCTTTTGAATATATGCCGAATAAAACTTTATTTTTGCTTTAATAAACTTTATGATGTTTTTCTTCTACAACAGTTAATGGCATGTCATGAAGGATCTCTGAAGCTACAAATCCAGTCAACCTCGAGGAGACCTGGACTGCAGAGCAGAAGCCGGCAAAGAAAGATCCTATCTTCTGGACCCACGTGTTCCCACTCCATGTCCTTTCGACATTGACAGGGCGAGTGCTCTTGGAAAACGAACCTTTGTTTATTCTTTTGTTGTTCTCTTTCTTGTGTTTTCTTAAGTTTTGTTCGGCATATTTGTTTGTAAAACTGGTTGATTTATTAAGGAGAGTCTTTCTTAGATTTTTGCTTGATTGTTTGGTTAAGAGTGACATATAGTAACTCTTTAAGTGAACTGCAGTTTAAGCCTGGATTTGGGTAAAGAGGTAATTCTATTTTCAAAGAGCTTTGAGCCACTATAAGCCACAAAAAAATTCGGGCATGAGTCAACCAGTAAAAGCCATTAGGGCAGTCGCTAGCGCTCATCACGAGCATCAGAGTCTCCCGTGACAGAATAAGGTAGTCACGAGACAGGCTAGAGCACTAGGCTGCCTGCCACCCGCAAGAAAAATCTCATGCAATGAAGGTAGATTGGTCTAAGCAAAACACTGTCCAAATCCCATGGCGTTCCTTGTTAGGTTTCTTTTCTGTGGCTCAGAGAAAACCTGGAAAATAGTGCTCTGTTTTGAAATCTCTCTTTTCCCCCTTTTCCAAATTTAAAATGGGAAATAAGCAAAAGAAAAGTAAAATTGACTGCCCACCATCCGGCACACCCGCTGCCTATATGGTAAACAATTTTGGCCCTCAATTGGCAAGGTATTTAGAAAATGGCATAATTTAACAAAAGAAAAGGATTCATTACAATGGCCTAAATGGGGGACTTTCGAATTGGCCAGATTAGTCGTTTTGAAAGGCAAATTAGAAACAAGGAGATCAAAAATAAACCAGAATCAGTGGGAAATATTTTTTAATTGGTATTTTGAATCATCAAGAAGGCAACAAGTGAATACTTTTGCTTCAGTTCAGGAAAACATTGCTAAGCAATCAAAGCAGATCTTGGCATTGGAGAAAGGTCAGGTAGCGTTACTTGATTCCTTAAGGAATAGAACTCCTATGGGTATTAAAGAAGATGGAAAAGACTCAGAGGAAGAAAATAGGGAAAAGGAAAGACCTGCCTCTTTATATCCTGATTTGACTTCTAGCTCTCTTTTAGCCAAATTACCTTTTCATTCCAGTGATTCACTGAAAATTGAGCCTCTGTCTCCATTAATGCCTTTGGTAGTTAGAAAGCCTAAATTAGCAGGTGGACCAGTGGAAGTAACAGTAAACCCCTGGTCCAAATCTGAACTCAGAGCAATTGTAAAAGACTTTTCCAACCCTCGTGAAAATCCTCAGAAATTTTTACATGAACTTATTATCTTGACAAGTACCTATGAACCAGGCACTTCGGATTTGTACAATCTGTTACATGTGCTACTAGGTTCAGGAGAAGCAGCTAGATGGATGGCTAAAGCTAAGTGGAAGGACCCAGAGGCAAGTTTAATCTCAAAATCAGGGGTTACAGGGAAAGAACTGAGAGATGAAGTTCAGGGTTTGGTTAAGGAATTGATAAATGCATTTCCAAAAGTTTTTCCAAGAAAGGTTGATTGGGCAAAAATCCAGCCTTGTAAGCAAGAAAAGGGAGAAAATGTATGTGCTTTTATGGATCATTTCTCCAAATTATTTGAAGAACATTCAGGTTTAAAGGCAATTATAAAAGAACATCGGCCTGTATTCAGCTCCATGTTTTTAGGAGGCCTATTGCCTGAATTAGCAGCTTTGGTAAAAAGACATCATTTAAATTGGGAAAACATAAATCCTTCAGAATTGGTTACAGTGGCTTAGAAATTGGCTCAAACTGAAGAAGATAAATATAGAGAGACTGAGTTAAAAACTAGAGAACAGAAAAAGAAGTTGATGTCTTTGCAGTTATATCAGCTACAAAGTAAAGGCAGTAATGATGGAATCCTGGCCAAGGGACAGATTCAAACAAATAAGCTCAAAACCGAGCTAACTTGTAACTACTGTAAGAAGCCTGGTCACTTTAGGAGGGATTGTTTAAGACTTAGGAATAAGCAGAGGGTTACTCTCTCAGCACCTCCATTACTACCACAGTGACGATGCTTCGAGGATTTAGGGGTTTTCGCCATGGTTCCTCTCAACAGTCAGAGAGAGACAACACTCGAAGTAAATGGGGAGCCTTGTACCTTCCTGCTTGACACTGGGGCCACCGTGTTGGCGATAAATTACACGTTTATGAAACCCCCTCCTTAGGAGAACAAAACTTCTAAAATCATGGGAGTTTCAAATGAAGAACAAATTTTGCCTCATTCAGAACCAGTACCAATATCTTTAGGACCCATTGATGATTTACATCTGTTTCTTCTCAGCAGCGATACCCCTGCTAATCTATTAGGGCAAGATTTATTATCTAAATGGCAATGCCATATACAGTTTACTG